TAGACGATAGTCGGGCGTAACGGCGGCCCGAACAAGGATTCCCAACGCAACACTCGGCCAATGTGCGGCAACGAGGTACGAGACGTGGTCGGCGCACAGGCTTTAACAGAAGTAGACGGTTGTGAGCAGCACAAGGGCTGCGAACCGACCATCAGACGGCTTTGTGGTGTCAAACGGCCATCGTCTTCTGGCACTGCGACTTTAAATACGCCAAGCAAGTAATGAAATTACGGCTTGTTAGTAGTGCTGCTCGGTGATGGATATGCCATCAGCGACGAAGCTGCTTGTCTGTTCACAGATGCCGACGACAAATTGGGTACAGTACGGTGTCACGAGGCGCCTCTAGACACAGAGCGCCGCGTCGCCGTCGACGACGATTGATTGGCGACCAAACCGACGCACACCGAATCAGGGAGGCGCACGCTTTGTGGTCAATGTTCCACCCACATCCACACATCCGTCGACGTCAGTCGCGCTGATTGATCCGCAAACGGGTGGGAGGTGTAATGCACTTGTCGGTCGAACTGTCGACAAACCCGATCCGAAAAGTCTTGCCATGTCTAGGCACCGAATGGCATGACGAAACATTTGGTCGTGCGTCGTTTGATGGACGGCGATTCGTGTTTCGACGAAAACACTATACCAAACAGATTTATGGTAAAGATATGATATGAGATCTGCCATTGTTTTTTTTGACAGAGGTAATTATGAAGGATTCACCTCCCCCACCGTCACTTGACCGTGAACGTCATTTGCTATTTCAATTAGCTTAACGACTTTGACCTTGTGTTAACAAGCGAAAGACGGGTTGTCGTTAATCAAGTAAAGAAAATCATTCCACGTCCTACGCATAACGAAACATAAGCTTCAACGGCTCACAATTTAACAGATCCCAAAGTTTGAGAAGCGGGACAGCTTTCTTCAGCATGACTCAGCATTTGCCATAGTTGGCATGCAAAGGGTTGCTTGCAAGGCTGAAGTAAGCTAGCAAAGTACAGAAAAAAGTCAAACACCAACTGAGGAAAAATAAGTAGAAAAGATAATAAAGAAAAGGGCAGGTGAAGGACTGTTCGTGTGTTGTGGAGATACAGATGAGGTTAAGCAAGAGGCTAACGGTTTTCGAGTTACAGAGAAACTAAAGTAAGCAAGACGCATATTTAGGTGATTCAGACAAAATACATCAATTGAAATGGTGTGTTTATCGCGCGTTCATCCTTCTTATGCGAAGTATTCAGGAACTTTTAATGAAGAGCACAAACTGGTCCCTTCTACAGTCAAGAATGTTGCTAAGTTGTCCAACGATTGCTACAGCTAAGTTTAAATGCCGGTCATGACAAGTGGGCCATAAAACAACGATATATCAATTTAACCCTTAAGTATTCAAGTGACAAAAAGCTACATACTCGTTCGGTTAGATCATACCGACACATTAATATTTATAATGGGGTAAAGACGTTTTACCTTTAGGCATATATATGTTTTTTCTTGCATCACAAACACGGACCTTTTAATAACAAATGAACAAAATAAAACAATTCACGATACACGTTACATATTTCCCGCACTATGTTAACAAGTATTCTTACAGTGAATTTTAAAAATAAACTTTTCCTTAGATATGCCACCACAACACAGAGAAACAATAAAAATACTGGTTTATGAGAAATTTTAAGGACACCAACACTCACTTCGGATCAAAAGCTGACATTTCAAATTTTTCAGCGCTAATTGTGGTACCAAACCGTGTTCCAAAATTTTCAGGAAGAGAAGAGTTCGAACATAAACTAACTTCGATTCTGTTCGTCAATCATCTAAGTTCTACAATAATAACGTTGTATTGAAGACCTAGAGGGAGCGATTATGGCAGCACGGCAAGTAAGCAAGGCTATCATTATGGACAACACATAATGAAATGACTGGATGAAGGCATGGAAAACTTCATGCAACGGCAAAGGCCTATCAGATAAAGACTATGGTTATAGAAGATTAAAAATCAACAAATTGTTGAGCTCGAAATTCTACTTTTTCTTGTACAGATTGATGACCGAATTTCAAAGAAATTTGTTCAGCGCAGTTAGACCATCATTTTCGTTTTGTATTACTGTAATGCCCATGATGGATGAGGTTTGCAGCACCAATGACAAAACTGAGGACTGAAAGATTCAAACCCTCATGGTTTGGTGTATTCTGCACTAGTCCTTATTTCCACTATCAAGCGTTTTTTAGAGTGCCTTTATTCATTACCTCGCACATTTTATTTTGCAGAAATTTCTATTTTCTCCCATTGATAGGGTTCCACGGTGTGAGTGATGTCCTGTCGTCAATTATCATACATTCTCGTCTCCAGTTCAGAAGAATGGCGACACAAATGCAGACTATGGACAAAATCACTTGGTCACATTTTCCGTGTCCTAATTGCCAAAGCGACAAAACGGTTGTTATCCCCCATCTCCTAATGTGTTTCATAAAAAATCTTTTGGATCGTCTGTAGCCGCTGACTGACCATTTTCCGTTCCAAGAACGGATGCAACAGCATGAAAATTTTACCTTGCTTATTTTTGGAATTTAAAAGTAAGTGTTCTGGGTCACCAGTTCATCCGATCTATTAATTTGCACTCTCAGTAAGGAAATAGGCGAATTTTCCTCACCGTGCGGGATTATTACGATTTGCAGCTTCTGGCACGGAGTAACAAGAAAAAGACCAGTCTTCCTACTGGGTATATATAAGAATGTTATACTATATTGGGTTCGATACAATTATTATTATCTCTCGTTCAGAAGGCAGGTGACAAGGATGTCACTGACGGGGAGTACAACGCATTGCTTTAATTTATAATTAGAATATCTTGTACCTCAGAAGTATCTTAAATCTAAGTGAAACTCCATGCCCTCATACCGCTGCTTCGTTTGCAGATTATCTCAAGGGAATTGACAGGCTCTTCTGGTCACAGTAATGATTATGATGAATGCACATAGGCGATTTCCTTAAAGACGGGACCCGTCATCGTTCAAAGCGACCAACAACCAAACAGTGGACTCGCTTCCAAAACAAACTGGGGTTGAAAGCGTTCCGCCTACTAGCAGCGGCGGTCACAGAGACCGATCAACATGTGCCGTGATAATAACAACTTGCAGACGAAATTATCAACTTGGAATGAGAGATCTTGTTATGCCTAGAAACCATGTTCTTTCTAAATAAGATTTTGCAACAAAGGCAATCTCAGGTAGACGGGTTAGGAACTCCATTGCTATTAATATTTTGAGTAGGCAATGCAAACCGATCTCATCATGTCCTCTGCTATAGATACTCATCTGGGGCAACTCATGACATCGAACTGACGAAAAGTCTCGCAAGATCTTCAGAGGATTACGTGCAGGAATGATTGGCCATGATTCTCAGCGCTTCGGTCACAAGACGATGAGAAGTTGTGAGAAATCGTGCGCAACGGTGTCAAAGGGTTGAACAGAGGATTATAGTACTTTAGCCACTTACGTTTACACGTGACCACGTACTTTCTAGACACCCCCTCTGCGGATATAAGATTTCTATGTTGAGAGTACGGCATGTGAATTGGCAACAGAGCATACCGGCATTATTCCTGTAGGTATGGCTTGAACTGACCTTACGCTGACCATCCATCACGTTTTCCAACACAAATGCTTTAAGCAAGTTGCTCATCAGTTTTAAATTTACTCCTCAGCCCTGCTCTCGCTTCACCTCAGAAAATCCATACTGAGGTGCTGGGTAAACGAAAACTCAACTCACACAAAACTCGTGACTTTGCAAATGCCTCTAATACGATTAGTCCTTACGCAAGTTCCAATCGCACCGCGGGCTTTCGTATGCCCAGATGTGAGCCATGTCCGCATAATCAGATTGGTGAACGGTTTCTCTGCAACTTCCATTTCCTCAACATAACTTAAGTGACATAGATGTCACCAGAATGAGGCAGGGAAAGGGTGCTAGCAAAAGCCGTAGAAAGTCCATTTGTGTGCTTCTCACAAAAGGATAATGGCGATCTAATTAGAGAGTAGAACCAATGTAACGTAGGATATAGCTTCACAGTTAAGAAGCGAAAATTCGACTATGTAACTGGATGATGGATCAACGAGGCTACAGCCAGAACTGTACAGAACACTTGATTTTTGAACATTAATTTCATAAATGTTTCATTATACCTGTCGCATAATATCTACATGAGCATTTTTTTAGTGACATGGATTAATGCTGTGTTACAAGCATAATCGAATCATCGGCTAACCACGATTCAGCAAATGTGATCTATATTTCTTAACAGCAGTATATTCCGCCTCTGTAGTATTGATTGTAGAGAAAGGCAAGGGTGTCTATTACGTCACGCGTCATCGTTATTTTTACGATAATTTGCGCCTCCTAAAATTGACACAGGTCGAACAGGTCATAACTCAAACCATGGACTGCGAAATATATTATCTGATTTTTCCCTTTTAAGCAATGACACCTTAATCGATTGGATGACATCCGGACGTTGCTACTTCCATTTCTCCTCTCTTATGAGAATCTGCATACCTTCTGCTTTTGTTTCGCTTCAGATTGAATTTCGTCGCAGAATTGCCTTAATCTCCCAATAATCGTCTCCTTGCACATGGTGACTCATTTCAAAAGACAGGTTTGTTAGTCTAGCAGGTAAACTGTGTAAAGGAAAGTCGAATTATTGCAAATATATGAAGACGCTTGCGGAAGTGATTATTAAATCTTCAGTACATACACTACAACAAACTTCCTTACCCATAAATTTAAAGACCTTTAAAATATCTAAATAAAGGGAGTCAAATTGGAATATTTGTTTTCTTAAATCTCATCTGTTCACACAAAACGATTTATTCGTTACCGACCATTTAGATTTTAGACTTATTCACGGCAATTCAGTTTGAATTGAACTTCCGCTAACCTCAATCAAATTTAACTTTTGCTTCGTTCTCATTTCTCATCATGTGTGTTACTGACGTCTCAGTAGCCTTAGAACCTCTGGTGCGCTTAGATCCACTGGTTGTCTGTAAAATCCCCAAGCTCAGGCGTATAAGTCTACGGCTTGCCTCAGCCAACTTTTGTTAACTCTGATCCTCTCTTTGAAACTGCAGCAGTCACCAGCTGAAGTGGTGAGCAGCATTTCACGAACGGCTGCAAACACAGAAGCGGACGAAATGCTTTTGGAGCGCTGCGTCTATGAAAGACGTCTTCGAAATTGCATCATGTTTCTAATGTTACTAAGTTTCGGGTGACACTCGAAAAGCTGAAAGATGCTAGGAAAGGTGCTTACTGCGAAGCAATCAAGACGGCTTCAAAGAGATGAGACGGAGTGGCAGCCGTAAACTCGATAGGGTTGAAAAGAGTTCCGCCA